ACTGAATCAAAATTCTTAATCTTTCACCCTCCCGAACGCGAACACATACAAAGTGCACTCACATCGGATACGATTCCCCACAACGATTCACGTCTGCCAACTCACCTTAACATACTGGTTGATACAAAAGACACACATGGGAAGACCGGGCGTAGAGTGGTCGATGTAGCCTTGCTTGGGCTTGATCTCCACGCAGATGACCTTGGCCCGCGGGCGATCCTGCCCTTCGACCCCCGGGCGAAGGCTCCTCTCGGCAGATGCGGTCTCCCGAGGGCGTCGACTAGAGGCTTCCGTCCCCGCGCCCTCCTCGACGCCTCGCGGGGCGCCGCCGGACGTGCCATTTGTACTCGAGGCTCGATGAGATTCCCTGAGATTGCAGACTGCTCCTTCGGGGCGCGCCGCGTGGGCAAGAGGGTCCTTCCACCGTTCGTCGAGACTCTCCCAGGGACACGCAGGAGGTCTCGGGGACGGGGACCGTCCACGGAGGGAAGACACAAAGGGGGCAGGACTAGCGAGATGATGCGCGAGAGACTCCGGGGAAATGTAAGAGGGAAGGCGTCTCTTGCTGAAGGCGCTGGCGGCGTCAGGACATATCCACGCTACTCCATACTTGTTGATCTCCTTACCCCGACGTCGCTCTGGAGGGAGAGTCAAGATATGAAATCTGACAGTGAGCAGATCTACCGTTAATCACAAACTAAAGGCCTAGCACTCACTCCCGATTCCAACTACTCACTGATAAGTACAAACAAGTTTCCACCTACAAAACACCACATTCCTTTCGGAAGCCAGACCGCACCGAACCATCCTTTCACAACACGGATTTCCGGCAGCCAGATACCGCACCAACCTATGTGGATTTCCCTACGCAAGGTTTAAAACGAATAAAAAATCCACTGAAAACAAAAAAAAACAATCAAACCCATAACCCGGCGCGAAACCACACAACCTTAACAAAACGACCCCGTGATTATTCCATTCATGCCGCAGGTACCATGACGTAATTCTAACCCTTTTTAGTGATAAGATTAAAAAAAAAGATATCCACTCAGAAAGATTACAGACATGAACGATGATATGTTTTTACTTCTATTCTCAATCGCGCAAAAGCCCATACGACGATAAAGAGCAACACAGTTTGAAAAAAAAGAAAAAAGAGATTTAACTGGAGACTTTTCCTCCGTCTTAATCCCTGTGCGTTGTTGCAGCGACACGAACGTCCAGCTAAGAAGATTAATATCGACCCTGCTGCGTTGGGTAATATTGAGGGGTGGATGGGGAAAGTGGATGAATGGAGGGGATGGGATAGAGAGGGGAGGGATGGGTGGGAAGGGGGAAGGAAAGAAGGAGGGGGGAGGAAAAGAGGGAGGGAGGGAGGAGGGAGGAGGAGGAAGGAACAAATAAATAAAAAAGAAGGAAGGAGGAAGGGATATACTATATATATACATATATGTAAATATATATACATATATATGTATAAGTATATGTATGTATGTACGTATGTATGTATGTATGTATGTATGTATGTATGTATGTATATATGTATGTATGTATGTATGTATGTATGTATGTATGTATGTATGTATATGTATGTATGTATGTATATGTATATATATATATATATATATATATATATATATATATATATATATATATATACATATATACAGAGAGAGAGAGAGAATGTTCGCTACCAAGGGACCCGGAAAGAGCAATCGAAATCGCCACCAACACTTTTTGTTCCCTTCCCTCCTCTCGGCCTCGCCTACCTGTGACCAGAAGCTTATCTTGTAAACAAATCAATATTAAGTGGCCGTGACCTTTCAAAATATCACTAGGACTCCAGAGATCACAGAACATGATATCCTGGTTGGACTACTTTTAAATACTGGACGTAATTCTTTTGGTTTCACATTTTCTTCATTTCTTCAAATATTTTCACACAAAAAAAACACGCCCTGCCAATATCTCTACAAAACTACAACAAAAAAACAACAACAATGTCACATTTTAATCTAATCTGATATGCCAATCCACGAAAATCTCGAGGTACTGATAATTTACAGCAATGTTTATCTGACCTTAAAATTACTATAAATGAACATTCCCGACAATGAAATGAAAATGCGTCCGTTGCCAAACAGCGTTCGATACTGCCGATACGCAGTGCCGATATCGAATTCCTGGCCAGTGAGTAAGGGTTCGAACGAGGGCATTCACTCCACACGAACACGTCTGCGGTGCTAAAATTCGCCAAGTGATGCGAACTCTGTAAACCTACGATTTATCAGCGTATTTTTCTGATCTTATTCATATCTCACTTCTTTCCTTCGTCTGTATTTACATTCGACTTCTTTTACATGTTGATCCTCTCAATCTTATATATCACATGATTATTATCTTATACTAATGCTAGACGTCAATCACATGTCACTCTGTCACTCGCATGCTAGTCATATCACTTATTGAAAAATGATTATGATGGACGTCGGTGTATATA